ATCAGTCATTTTGGGCACCTGGGAGGCTCAGTCGGTTAAACGTCTGCCTTTGGCTCAGGTCATGATCTCTGGGTCCTGGGATGAGTACCGCCGCATCCAGCTCCCTGCTCAGCGGAGGGTCTGCTTCTCCCCTCTCCCTCTGCCTGCCTCTCTGCTTGCATTCTCTCTCTCTCTCTCAAATAAATAAATAAATAGATCAATCACTTCGATCAGCTGGCCATCTCCCCTGTTCAAACAACACGAGACGATGGTCTCAGGCTGAGGATCCAGACAGAAGTCAAGCAGGGGCTTACTCGCAGGGGGCTGACAGTCTTTCAGAAGGGGCGGGCTAGGCTTTGAGAAATGATGCCAACCACAGCTCTGGGCTGACTGCTGGGTGGCAGAGGTGGCTCTTACCCCAATAGGAGGAGCAAATCTGCTGGGAAGCGAGGGCAGGCATCCAGGCAGGAGCCTGGTGGGGGCCTTAGCAGCCACTTCCTCTGACCCCATCCTGGTGGCCCAGTCTTGCGTGGGGAAGGGGCTCGCCTGATTCCCACAGACACAGTTCCCAGCCCTGGCAGGACCCAGGACCTGTCCACCTCTAACCTGGGTCCTGTTCTCACCTTGTAGTAGGACCTCTTTCCCTGCATGGACATCCCCCTCCATCACTGGCTCATGTCCTCTGCCAGGGACCCTGCGGGTTCCTCTCTGCAATGTCCCCTGAGCTTCCACAGTGTTTCTCTTAAACCACATTATAGAAGAGTAAACTGAGGGTCCAACAGAAGTGTGCGAGCTGGGACCCTCAGCCCTGAGAGACGTTTATAATTCCATCCCCCTGGGAGAAAACCGAGGCTCTCAAGCTGGGGGGAGGAGACACTGGGCAGGTGTGGGGACCATGCGAGGGAGAGGCACAGGGGTTGAGTCAACCCCTCGACCTGGCTGGAATCCGGGCACCTCACGGTCTCCAGCCCACGGACTCCTACTCATCCTTCAAAACTTTGAGTCTGGCCACCCGCGTGACCTGTTGCACCCACTAATCTGGGCACGGCAGGCCCGCCCCCTCCCCAGAGGACCCAGAGCGGGAGGAGGTTGGCACGGGGGTGGTGGGCCTCCACACCCATGAGGGGAGGTAGTGGGCTATATCAGTGGGGGTGGCGGGCTACATGCGACGCAGGGCACCCCGGGGGTGGCCGGGTGCCACCACGCCCCTCCCTGGGGTATGGGGGCGATGACCTCAACCTTGGCCCCGCCCCCTCCTCTGCGGGCTCCCAGGGATAGGCAGGGCGGGGGCGGGGCTCCGCGCGGGGAGGGCGGGGAGGGCGGGGCAGGCAGGCGGGGCCCTGCGTGGGGGGCGGGCCAGGGCGGAGCGCGGTAGCCCCCGTCGCGCTTGCCGCTGCGGCTGCGCCCCCCGGACACGCTCGCCGACCCGGGCCGGGCGGACAGCGTGCTCTGCGGAGGACGCGGGCTGCGCCGGGCCGGAAGCGCGGAGCGTGGGGCGCGGGCGCCCAGGGGTCCCGGCGCGGGGGCGGCGGGCACAGGCTGGGCCGAGCGCGCCGAGGACCCCGGGGCCCGGCAGTGCCGAGGTAAGCGGTCACCGCGGAGGTGGCGGGCGGGGACGCGGATGGGCTGGGACGCGGAGACCTGTCGGAGCCTTTGTCTGCGGCGCGCGCGGCCCCACTCCGGGCCCCCTCCCCCTCCGCGCCGGCTCGGGGCAGCTGAGTCCCGGAGCGGGGGCACGTGGCTCCGGGGACCCCGAATCTCCCACCCCACCCCATCCTTTTTCTGGGAAGAGGGTACTCCTACCCTGCCTGCCCCATCGAGCATCTGGACCGGGCCAGCGCCCCCGCCCCCACCCCGTGCCCAACAGCCCGTTTGAGAGCGCAAGACCCAGACCCAGGAGAATGGCCAGTGATCCCAGGCCATGCCCAGGTCTGAGAACCACCTCCCTCCGTAGGCATGCCCAAAGGGTCCTTCCACCTGAAGTTCCTCCCTGGACCCCCTCCTCTGCCCAATCTCGCCTCTTTCCCCAGCCAGCTCCCTCCTAGCTTTTGGAAAAGCCTCTGTAAGAGGCAGGGCCTGTGCCCAGAGGTCACCTCATGGTGGCCTGGGGAGTCTGTCTGTTGCCTAGGGGTGCAGGGCTGGGAACCAACTTTGTTGCTGATAGGGCCACACAGACAGAAGAAGCCTGGGGGATGCAGGGTGCTGCCAGCCCTGGGACCCGCAGAAACCGAGGCCAGGGAGGAGGGGGTGGGTCTGGGCTGTAGGAGCTGCCGCCAGAGCCTTTGGCCAGTGCCTTCACCTCTCCAGCGGCAACTGCAGGAAGGGGGTGGCCTGGGACCTTGAAACCCCTTTTTCTGTGGGCAGAACCAGCAGGGAGTAGTTGGGCAATGTGTGGGCTTGGCTGTGGGGGAGCAGCAAAGAAACTCAATAGGTCTAGGGACAGGGGGCCAGGGACATCCAAGGGGGTCCTGCTGGCTAGGGCTTGTGGCCCAGGATGAGTATGAGGCCTAAAGAGGGCCAGCGGGCAGGCTTTCCAAATCGAATTCAGATTCCTTGGGCCATCTAGGGGGACACGCTGTAGAAGGGTCAGCCTGGCCTTGCGGGCACATTCAGGAGCAGTGTCCTCTCAGTCAGAGGTGAAATGGGGGTGCCAGAGGTGCTCAACCTGGCTGGGACTCTAACGCGAGCTGCGTGACCTCTGGCCTTGGCTCTCTGTGCAAACTGGGGGCCCGTGAGCCTGGGTTTAATGATGGCTGGGGTCAGGAGCCCGCTCAGGCCCACAGCAGTGCCCGGATTTTGACCCCCCAGCCACCCCCACCCCAATTTGTGAAGTACTGTCTCACCTTCCTTGTCCACAACAGGGAGGGAGGGAAACTGAGGCTCATGGGTGTGCATGGTGGGGTCCTGGCAAGGTGGGGGGAGCAGAAAGGAGCCTGTGCACTATTGGATTTTTATTTTTTTAAGATTTTATTTATTTACTTATTTATTTGACACAGAGAGACAGAACACAAGCAGGGGGAGTGAGAGAGGGAGAAGGAGGCTTTCTGCCAAGCAGGGAGCCTGATGCGGGGCTCCATCCCAGAACCCTGGGATCATGACCTGAGCTGAAGGCAGACAATTAATGACTGAGCCACCCAGGTGCCCCCAGTTTTGGATTTTTAAACCCACGTGCATGTCCTTAAATTTTACCTCAAGAGGCACAGGAGAGGAGGAGGAATGGGCAGGGGTAGGAGCTCATCAGGCTCCAGGACGTGGGTGTAGAGACTGAGGGGTCTGGGAGGGAGCGAGTTGGCCTAGGAGAGGTGGAGACGAGCCACCTCAGTGCTCCCCGCAATTCTAACACCAGTGAGGTCATGCCTAGAGGCCTGGGGCTGCCACAGGGGAAGCCAGAGCCCCCTGCCCACAGGTGGGCCCCGGAGCAGCACGTGGGCACAGCGGCTGAGGTTGGCATCATGGGCGGCAGCCGCCTGCCTCCCGGATGAGCCAGAGGGAGGAGTGGGGCCACCTCTGGGCTCGATGCTGAGCACGTCCGCCTTCCTGGGTGGTGTGGCCAGGCGCAGCCAGGGCACTGCGTCTCGGGAAGCTTTGCAGAACAGGGGTCAGGGGTCCGGGTTTCGGGCATCCTCCGGGGCTGGGCTTATGCCCTGCGTGGACTGCGGGGGGTAGTGTTCCACTGCTGTAGACCACTGTGGCGCTGGCTCCTTCCCCAGCCTTCCTGTCTGCCCGGGAGGCCTGGAGCTCTGAGCCTCCTGTGTGGGATCCTGCCCAAGGCCACGGTCATTCAAACCAGGCCCAGCTCTGTCCTAAATCCCACCTGGTACCCCCAGCTCCAGATGTGGCAGGAGGCCCAGGTCTGGGGGACACTCAGGAAAAGCACTGAGCCGACTGGGGGTTACGCCTGCCTCGCAGCCCCCGGACGGAGAACCCCGGACCCTCTTCTCTCTGCTCGTGGGTGTCCATCAGCCCAGGCAGTCCCCAGCTGGCAGAACCAGTTCCACCAGTCCCTGGACCAGCCTGGAAGCAGGACAGCTCCGGGCTCCAGGGCCCCGGTAAAAACTCTGTGGAGAGTGGGAAAGGTGGGAACGCGGGGCCAGCAGGAGGCACTCGGTAATGGTCAGCACGTCAGGCCTGGAGGCTGGGAGCGGGTAAACTGAGGCAGGAGTGCGGGAGGAAATGAGACAAAGCAGGAGCAGGCAGAGGTGGAGGGGTGGGGACAGGCGACTGCAAAGAAGATCGGGGCAGTCCCAGCACGTGGGATCCCTCGGGAAGTGGGCTTTCTGCTGGCCTCTTCCGTGGGCGCTCCGCACACGCTCATGGTGGGGGTGTCTAGGGGCCACACTCAGGGCCCAAGGCTCTGATGTTGCCTCTGTCTCGGATTCCCTGGGAGGAGCTGCAAGGAGATAAATGGTTAAAAATCATTAGAAACACAAATTGCTGGGCTTGACTGGCCCAGTTGCTGGAGTGTGGGATCTCAGGGTTGAAAACTCGAGCCCCACGCTGGGTGCACCGATTACTTTAAAAAAATAAAATCTTAAAAAAAGAAAAAGAAAAACGGAGAACTCTTTTAAGGGAGAAAAGAAACCCCAAGACTGCCCCCGTCCCCAGCCCAGCTCCCAGTGGGGCTGTCTCTTCATTGCGGATGAATTAGCTTCCTTTCTTTTAAAGGCAAAGGTAGTAGACATGAAGCATGAGAAACTGAGGCGAGACCGGAGGAAGGACTTCCTGCCCCAGAGCGGGGCACCGCAGTGCTTCACAGTGTCCCGTGGGCCTGGGCCTGGGTCGGCACGGCCCCCCCCTTACTGTCTGTGAGACTGCGGGGAGGGCGCCCTCGAGGCTCGCGCTGTGCCCCCGGCTTCCTCCTCCGCCCCATCTCTTACCCTGCGTGCCACTGTGCCACCCGCGTGGGGCTCCCTGTCCCCTGTCCCGAGATGGGAATGGCGTGTGGCCACCAAGCCGCAGGGGCACGGCGGTGGCCGGGGTCCCCCGTGTTCCCTCAGCCCGTCTCCTCCCCCTCTCTGCAGCCCAGGCTGCCATGGGCTCCGTGGGCAGCCAGCGCCTCAAGGAGCCCAGCGTGGCGGGCACGCCGGAAAGGAGCGTGGTGATGAGCTTCAGCTTCGACACCTGCCGGCCGGAGGAGGAGGGGACAGCGGGGACGACTCAGCGCCCGGGCGTCCCAGGTTTCACGGACTCTGGTAAGTTGGGGGGGGGACAAGCTGGGATGGGTAGCGAGAACCCTCGCAGAGCCTTGGTGGGGGGTTCCTTAGCACAGGGCATGGCGTCTATCAGGAGGTGTCTGCTGCGGGGACAATCAAGCCAATGTCTTTGTCGCTTTGGTCACCTTCGCTGGCCTCCCTTCAGTGGAGATGGGCAAGGGCCTGAAGGGAGAACCGATGTGAGGTGCGAAAACTTAATTTTCGTCCTGGCTGTGTGACCTTGGATAAGGGCCTAAACCTCTCTGAGTCTCCGTTCTCTCACCTTGAGAAAATGGGCCAGTTACCTCTGCGACCAGACTTGCTGGGTAGAGGGCCGCGTGCAGGGCTGATGCTGGACAAGTTTGGGTTCAGCTCCTTTCCTCTGGCAGCTTGGGCACTTTGGGCAAGTTACCGTTGTCTGGGCTTTGGTTATGTCTTCTATGAAAGGGGAACGGTCCAGGAGCCATGTTCAGTGTAGCCCCAGAACATGGCTTAGGGCTGTCCCTGTGCTCGGGAGACCCCTGTGATAGCTCATTTTGGGGCGGTTCTGGTTTATGCTGGCACGGTTCCAGGCTCAGGAACTGGGGCTTGTTCTCTGGTTCCAGCCCCTCTCTCTGCACGTGGGAAGCAGAGGTCCTGCTGGCCAAGCCCTGCAGCGGGTTGCTCCCCCATGCCTCGGCAAAGCCAGCTCTGGGCCTGTCCCCAAGGTGCTAGACGTCCCCTGGCCTGGCATGGCACTAACTAACCAGTGGCCATGGCCCTGGCAGCTGGTCTGTGGGACCACAGAAGCAGATGGTGGCCATGGCAGTTGTGGTTTTAACTATAATGGCCTTGGTGACAGTCACTGGGTCCCTCAGGGTTCAGCCAAGAAACAGAGCCAGTAGGAGAGACATGGACAGTAGACAGGGTTGTACGAATGATCCAGGTGTAGATATATGTACCTGCATATGGGTTTATTTCAGAACAGAAGCAACTACAGTGGAGCCTGGCCAAGTGGCCTGACGTCCATAAGGCAGCTGCTTCAGGAAACCCCAGGGGCCTGAGCTATTTAAGGTCTCAGCTCTGGGAAGACCTGAATGTCTTGCCTGATTAGGCCAGGCTCACCCAGGGCAATTTCCTTGTGATTCACTTAGAGTCCACTGAGGAGGGACTTTAATCCACAAAATCCCTTCCCAGCAGCCGCTCATTCAGCGTCAGATTGAACAACAACGGATTAGTTCAGCCTGCCAAGTGAACCCATTAAACTGACCCATCACAGTCCACCCCTTGCCCGGCTTGGCTCCCAAACACAGCTCTGTGACCATACTTAATCTCCAAGTAAAGACACTTGACAGAGTCCTGCCGCTGCCCAAAGCAACACAGCTAAGCCCCCTAGCACCCAAAACACGCCGACGCTTTCCCCGGAGGACGCAAAGCCCGGCGTGCCTCGTTCCTGTCTCTCCCTTGACAGCCCGTGATTCAAATACTGAGATTTAATACAAGCACATCCTCTGTTAGCCCGTCAGGTGATGAAGTGGACAAAACCCCAGCTTGGGGTGAATACACAGACAGACAGACAGACATATTCCTGTCGAGGTCAGGGAGGTCACGTGGCCATGGCTGGGGTTTATAACCGCCTTTCCCCGCTGCCCAGTCCGTAGCCTTTGCCGCCAGCTCCTCAGCCAGTAATGCTTCTTGGCCCAGTGGGGAGACCCAGACCTTCAGTTCTAAAGGTTACAGTCAGATCGTTCCGCGCTCCGTTGACTTCAGCCCCAGGGAGTGGAAGCCGTAAGAGGTGCCGTGAGGAGCCTCTTGCTTTGCAGACATGCTCCTGTTCTCTTCCATCCCCGACCTCCCCTTGGTAGTCAGGATGAACCGCCCCAGCCAGGACGCCGGCCCTCTTCTCTGCCTGTGGCTGGTGGCCATTTGGCTTCCCGGTCAATGGCACCAGCGTGTCTCCACACGGAAGCGTTTCTCCCTTGGGAATCTGGACCCTGCCCTGGGGCCAGCAGCCTCGGGGCACAGGGGCGGGAGGCGGCTGCGTTGTTAGCGGGTCTCTGAAGGTCCTCCAGGGCGGTCCCACTCCCGCGTCCACGTGCGCGCTCCCTGGACACCCGAGTGCTGATGGGAGGACTCAGCCCATGAAAGCACAGGCAGGATCCTGGGGTGTCTCACCTTGGCTGAGTCTTCCAACAGCCTTTCTGCCACATTGGTGATGGCCGTGGGGGGTTGCCGGGATAGCTCTGACAGTGAAGGGGGGCGGCGTAGCCACAATGCCGGTGGAGAGGGCGGCCACGACCATGGTGGTTATAGGGATGGCGGTGCTACTCCTGGCACAGTGGCCAGGGCTTCGAGGGGTCCGTCCCCCTCTGACCAGCTGCCTCTGGCTTCAGCGGTCGATGAGCCGGTGCCCAACGACGGCTACCACGCCATCTACTTCGCGATGCTGCTGGCCGGCGTGGGCTTCCTGCTCCCCTACAACAGCTTCATCACCGACGTGGACTACCTGCACCACAAATACCCAGGTGGGTCCCCCGCGCCCCGCCCTGCCCCAGCCACAGGCCGGCCACCACCCTCCCGAAACTCTGCTTGGGGAGCCTCTGACTCGGAGCAGCCACTCCCCATCTCTGGGCTGTCAGCCACTTTCAGGCACCTGGCGAGGAGGGGTGCGGAGAGTGGGGCTCTCCCTGAGCACCTGCCGGCTGCCCCTCCCCCCGCAGGGACCTCGATCGTGTTCGACATGAGCCTCACCTACATCCTGGTGGCTCTGGCGGCTGTGCTCCTGAACAACGTGCTGGTGGAGAGACTGAGCCTACACACGAGGATCACCGCGGGTACGCTGCCTGCACACTTGGCCGGCCGCTCTCCTCCCCAGGGTCCCAGAGACTCAGTCTCCCCATGTGTGAAGTGGGCACGCCTCCTAGGAACATTACAGGGTTCGGCGTGTGAAAATAGGGTCCAGGCTTTTGTGCACCCCCACACCGTGTCATGGAACCCTGCCTGCTCTTCCCTGTTCCTTATCCTCTTCATGGCAACGTCCAGTTTCAAGGCCCAGCCCAAATGGTGCCTCCTCCAGGAAGCCTTCCAGGCACTTGTAAAATGTCCTCGGCCCTCTCAGTATTAAGAAAGGCAGACAGGGCACTTCTGAGGGGGCTCTGCAGGAAGGGTGGGACGAGGGGAGACCCCAGCCCAGTGCCCACCGCCCACCTCTCTGGCCTCTCCCCCTAGGCTACCTCTTGGCCTTGGGCCCCCTCCTCTTTATCAGCATCTGTGACGTCTGGCTACAGCTCTTCTCTCATGACCAGGCTTATGCCATCAACCTGGCCGCTGTGGGCACCGTGGCCTTAGGCTGCACAGGTAGGAACCTGGGCCGGGGTGCGGGCAGGGCGGGGGGGAGGGGTGCTTCCAAGTACCCTGCGCTTCCAGAACCATCCTGCCCATGCCACCATGCCACCCTGCCACCAGGTTTCACTTGGACAGTAGCTTTCTAGCTTATCTTTTTAAGTTTTTAAAACTATTTCAAGCCTACGGAAAGCTTGCTGGACTAGCGTAAGGAACCCCCATAGACCTTTCATGTCAGCTTGCCTGTGGCTGATGTCTTGTCACACAGGCTTTCTCTCTGTCCCCTGTCACACCCATAGATACATATACGTTTCACCCCTGAATACATATATATATAAAATAATCTGTGTTTTCACCTTACGCCATGTGGGAGTTGCCTAGATACTAACGGTCGAGGGTGTATTTTCTAGAAGGTAGGATGTTTCTTCCATCGCCACGTTACGGCAGCCCGAGTCGGGAAGCGTGACACTGCACAGCGCTATTCTCTGTGACCGGTGTCCATGCATCACCTGTCGCCTTGATAGCACCCTTTATAAGCGTTCTGTTTCTGACCCAGGATCTGATCCGGGATCACGCCGTGTTCACGGTCACGTCTTTAATCCCTTTTAATCCCACGTGGTCCTCGGCCTTCTTCTTTGATGGCAGTAACGCTTGGAAAGGTCCTGGCCAGTTGCCTTGTACCCTTCCACACTCTCCGAGCAGAAAGAAATAGGTTGCATGCTATGAGCCAGTGGAGGCATTTGGGTGACCGTGTGTTTTTCAGTGAAGTCAGGGCTCCGGGAAACAGTGTCCTCAGGTCCATTTCGTTCTGTTGTTTTGTTAAAAAGCAGATGCAGGGAAGGGACAGGTGATCTAGTTTTCCTAGTTTGACCTTTCCGGTCTGTCCCATGTATACCATGGATTCGCTAACCTGTAGGGTCTGAGCCTGGGCGTCTTAACCCCCAAGACGCCGCTGAATTTCTAGAAGCTTGTTGGTTAGCATGAGAACAGGGAGGCCATGGTAACGCCAATCTCCATGGCTTCCTAGAACAAGACTTATTTCTGGCTCTCGCTGCGTGTCCCAACATGTGGACGGAGGCGAGGCTCCATGTGGTCGCTGGGAGCCGGGCCACTGTGGTCCCCATCTGTCACACGAGGCCTCTTCGGTCACTGCCACTAAGGGGAAGGAAACCCCAGAAGTCCACGGGGGCTTTTCTCTGCCTCGGCCAAATGTGACGTGTGTTGTTTCTGCTCGTGTTTCATTGGACAGAACTAGTCATGGAGCGTGGCCGGCCCGTGGTCCCTGGCACGCGCTGTTTGGTGGGCGGGGTGGGTGGAGCCCATCTCTGTGCCCGCAGGTGATGGTGGCATCTCACGGTTGCTTCTCTGTCTCTCCCCCCAAGTGCAGCAATCCAGCTTCTACGGGTACACGGGGATGCTGCCCAAGAGATACACCCAGGGTGTGATGACTGGGGAGAGTGAGTATCTGCAGCCCCCCCCAGGAGGAACCCCCAGTGAGGGGCTGAGCTCCGAGCAGGGGATGGGGACCACCATGTCCCCCTGCCTGGCGGATGGGGGCAGGGACTCCAGGCAAGAAGGGAATAGCTGTGACATGTGCACTTCCGTACGGGGGTGCAGACCTTTGTGATGGGAGACACGCGATCTGCTCCGAGCGGGGCGGGGTCTAGAGAGGCTCGGCGCGCTGGTGCAGCTGGGTGTTCTGTGTGTTTGTGTGTGCTGTATGTGGGGCTGGGGGGTTGGTGAGCCTGTCCAGACTACGCTGTTCTCTGAGCCCCAGACCTACGCACTGAGCCCTGCCCGGCACCCCCACTTGGCTTCTCAGACTCACTGTCCCAAGCCCCCCTCTTCAGTCCACCTGCCCCTGCTCAGCAAATGACAGCCCCAAACCCGAAGCCTACCCAGCACCCTTAGACTTGCTCTCCAGGCTGATCCCTGCACCCCAGCCCAGGGCAAGGTGGCCGTTCCCCTCTGGCCCTGCCAACCCCCACCCACGTATCAGGGCCCCTTTGCAGCACCTCCCTCCAGAAGTTCTCAGTCTCTTTCTGTGCTGGGCGGGGCTGGGTCCCGCAGTGCGGTCCAGGCAGAAAGCTGTCTTCGGGGTACTCTGCCCCCCCACACCATGTGGGGAGGTTGCTCAGATGCCCCCAGGGCTCCAAGCCTTAGGTCTGTGGGATTTGGTTCCAGGAAGGCCCGGGGCAAGCAGATCACTTCTGTGTGTTTTGTCACGGAGGTGAGCAAGGCGGCTGTCAAGTGGTGATTTGGGGTGGCTTGGGCGCCCAGTAACCCCACACCCTGGGAGCAGCCCACAGTGGTCATGGCCTGCTTCTGCCAGACGCTGCCCTGTGGCTCACGGTCACACCCCGCACCCACATCCTGCCTGCCAAGACCCCACTGCCCTCCCTTGTGATCTCGAGACCACGCCCACACCTGTCAGCTCCTGGTACGTGGACAAAGACCACTTATGCCAGCCCCTGCCGGGGCTGCTCCCCTTGAGCCTCTGCCTGCCCCCCGATCCTGCTGGGGGCTCCCCCTACCTTCACCTGCCCTGCCCCCTATCCTGCTGGGGGCTCCCCCCGGCCTCTGCCTGCCCCCCATCCTGCTGGGGGCTCCCCCCTAGCATCTGCCTGCTTCCCCATCCTGCATAGATGTTGGCATTTTTATGCGACTTATTTACAGCACCCCCCCATTGAGCGTTGGGGAGGTAGGACCTCGTTCCCCACTGCCCTACTGTATCCCCAGGGCTGGATGGTGCCAGGTACACAGCAGGTGCTGTATAAATGCTCTTGGGGTGTGAGTATGAGCAGACCACAGTGCCGGGGAAGAGTCTTCTGAGCAGGCGCATTCTGTGAACAGCTCCCTGCGTGTCTGGGGCCCGGGCCTGGGCTGGGGCAGGTGCAGGGCTGAGGCTGGCTGGGGGTGGGGCCAGGTCGGGGCAGGGGGCCTTTAAGTGGACTTTGGGGCCCAGGCCCAGCGCAAATGCTCCCCACCCAGGCACAGCGGGCGTGATGGCGTCCCTCAGCCGCATCCTCACCAAGCTGCTGCTGCCGGACGAGCGGGCCAGCACGCTCATCTTCTTCCTGGTGTCTGCCGGCCTGGAGCTGCTCTGCTTCCTGCTGCACCTGCTGGTGCGGCGCAGCCGGTTCGTGCTCTACCACACGGCGCGGCCACGCGACAGCCGCCCAGGCCGCAGAGCCGGCTACCTCGTGCACCACGACGTCGCCGCGGGGGACGTCCACTTCGTGAGTGTGCCGGCTGCTGCCGCCACCAGGTCCCGCCAGGCCCCCTGAGGCCACGCTGGGGTCTCGGGCTCCTTCCCACGGCCCTCCTCCCGTCTGCGGACCCGAGTCCTGAGTCTTGGCGGGCACAAGCCGTGCGGAGCCGTCCTGCGGGGCGGGGCGCCCTCTGGTGGTGGCGGGGCTGCATGGCCCCGGAGGGCCCAGGGTGGGCGCCCATAGGAGGGCGCCAGGAGGGTCGCATGGGGGGTTGGGGGGGCAGCATCCCTGCACCCGCGGGGCCCTCTGCACCCCACGGTGTCCTCAGCAGCGAAATCCTTGCAGACAGGGCCCAGTGCCCTGGGTGCTGCATGGGAAAGGCGGTCCTGATCCCGAGCCGTGGGGAGGGGCTGCGAGGTGTCCCAGTGCTGGCACAAACGGGGCCCCTCAGTGGTCGGGGAGGTTCCCCGAGAAGTGGCCTCTGGACTGAAACCTGACCTGTGTGGTGGGTAGCTGCAAAGATCCATAGGAAAGGCATTGGGGGCCAAGGGAAAAGCCAGGGCAGATACTTGGGGGACTGGAGAGCCCCTCCCCTCCCATAGCCCACCGGGCTCCATCCTCCCTCCAGGAGCACCAAGGCCCAGGCCTGGTCAATGGCGGGTCCCCAAAGGACAGCCCGGCCCACGAGGTGACCGGCGGGGGTGCCTACATGCGCTTCGACATGCCTCAGCCCAGAGTGACACGGAGCTGGCCCTCCTTCCAAGGTGGGGGCAGGGGATGGGGTGGTGGGGCTGTCCTCTGGGCATTGCCGGTGGCGCCCCCTGACCCCCGGCCCCCGCCCACAGCCCTGCTGCTGCACCGCTACACTGTGGCCCGCGCCATCTGGGCTGACATGCTCTCCATCGCCGTGACCTACTTCATCACGCTGTGCCTATTCCCGGGGCTCGAGTCTGAGGTTCGCCACTGTGTCCTGGGCGAGTGGCTGCCCATCCTCATCATGGCCGTGTTTAACCTCTCCGACTTCGTGGGCAAGGCAGGTTTGCAGCCCCTCCCCTGCCCCTGGGATAGGAGAGGGCACCTCAGGGTTGAGGTAGCAGAGCCCGGGGCCCTGTGGGGAGGGTCCTCGGGGAGGGGCCGGCCCTGAGCTGAGGACACCTGAGCTCCCGAGTGGGGAGGGGAGCAGCCAAACTAAGATGCCATCCCAGACAGCGTACCCCTCCCCCACCCCATGGGGGGCCCCAGTGACCCTGCAGGGCAGCTCCTCGCTGTTGGCGGTTCCCACAAAGGCTGGGGCTGACCTCATCCTTGTGTCTGTGCTCCCTAGCTAAGGGGCCTCTGGAGCAGCACAGAAAGTACTACCAGGGAGCAGGTCCCCTTAGGGGTCAGGAAAACGTGGGCACAGTGCCCTGAACTACAGGCGCAGGGCAGGGTTAGAGGTCAGGGTTAGGGTAAGCTCAAGATTGTCATCTCCAGGGCAGGCCTGATGTGGGCCGCCTTCTGGTGAAGGAACATGAGGCTCAGAGAGGTAAAGCCCTTTGCCCGAGGTCACACAGCAGCGTGGTCCGAGAAAGGAATCTGGTTCACGAGGGAGCAAGGCTGAGTTAGTGGGCTCGACCCCTAATCCGGCTATTTTCTGCTCCGCAAACAGTTGCAGGCACACCAGACGCTCAGGGCCTCATTTCTCAGGCAGGGTCAGGAGCCTGGAGGTGTGCACCCTGGGAAGGTGCGGGGGACGCGGGGGGAACCCATACAGTTCTCAGACGGAGGCAGAGTGTAGCAAGGACTGTGCGTTGCTGTAACAAGGGATTCGATGGATTGAGTGGTCACAGCTGACAGAGAACAGGGACACACCCTGGGCTGGGAGCCCCCAGGGACAGGGACCGGGTCTGGGGCCCGCAGTAGGGAGGGGCAGTGGGCTCGGGAGAGACCGTGAACGTGCCCGGCTCCCCACAGATCCTGGCGGCTCTGCCCGTGGACTGGCGGGGCCCCCACCTGCTGGCCTGCTCCTGCCTGCGCGTGGCCTTTATTCCCCTCTTTATCCTGTGCGTCTACCCCAGCGGCGCACCCACCCTGCGCCACCCGGCCTGGCCCTGCGTCTTCTCTCTGCTCATGGGTGTTAGCAGCGGCTACTTTGGCAGCGTACCCATGATCCTGGCGGCGGGCAAAGTGAGCCCCAAGCAGCGCGAGCTGGCAGGTAAGGCAGGGAAATAGAGGCCCACGGAACCCAAGGCCACGTAGCCAACAGGTGCGTCGGGGTTCCAAGGTCAAGTGGAGCTCAGGGAGCTCAGAGGGGCGGAACGTGCATCAGTCACTTATTCCTCCGGGCATCGCACAACTACTCTTGAGTCCCGACTGTGCTGGGCCCGGTTCCAGGCACCAGGGACCTGGGGCAATGATCCCCGTGCTTGTGGGGCGGACAGTCTCAAGGTGGCACGTGACAATACATGAAATGTGTTGAGTGGTGGACAGAAGCATGACAGAAAAGCCAAGCAGAGAAAAGGGATGGGGTTGTTGGGCTGGGGAATTTGCAATGTAAGCGGGGCAGTCAGGGAAGGCCTCCCCAGGGAGGTGAGCTTTGAGCAAAGAGCTGGAGGAGGTGGGGAGGGAGCCAGCCGTGAGGCAACGCAAGGGAACAGCCCTTGAGAAAGCCAGGGAGCAGAGCCCACGGTTGGGGGTCTGCCAGGGTAGGTAGGGGTGGGAGGCCCGAAGAGGGGCAGGACCAGAATGTGTGTTAAGACCCCTTCCAGTGCTGCCTGGACAGTGAGGAGGGAACAGCAGGGGTGGGGTGGGAGGGAAGAGGGAGGGCAAGCTCATCCAGACCGTAGGGGACAGGGGCTCTGAGAGGGCGGGTGCCGCGTCTCTGCAAGAAAGTGGTAGATGTTGGATTGGTTTTGATGGTAGAGCCCACAGGGCCGGCTGGTGGATTGGGAGACCAGACGTGACACAGGAATCGGGGGTCAAGAGGGAGTCCCCACGCTGGGGCTGTTCCAAGATCGCTGCCCACTGAGATGGAAGGGGTGTTGAGGGCACGAGGTCCTGCAGTGTGTTCTGGGCATGGTGGTTCGAGAAGCCCTTAGACGTCCTGGATTGTCCATGACAAGGAGGGATGTGGAGATGGGGGGCAGGAGACAAGTGGAGCAGCAAGGCCTGGGGACCCCGTGAATCCACTGGGGCAGAACAGTCCCCGGCTGGCCGCCTGTTCCACGCCCAAGGAGCCCGCAGCATGGACTCCGGGCCGCCGGGCTGGTCCTCTGAGCGCCCTTCCCTGCCCGCCGCCTCAGGTCCGGTGTCGTCCGCAGGGAACACCATGACTGTGTCCTACATGACGGGGCTGACGCTGGGCTCGGCGGTGGCCTACTGCACCTACAGCCTCACGCGGGACACTCCCAGCAGCTGTCTCCACACGTCTGCCAACTTCTCCTTCCCCTCTGGCCTCTGAACCAGGCGTGGGCACCCCCTGCACCATAGCCCCTGACCCGAGGCCCGAGGCCCCCTCCCACCCCCCTGCCTACAGTGCCTGCGGGACCCCGGCCTCCTCCCCGTGACAGTCACGCCCGTCACTCTGGCCCCAGGGTTCTGCTGAGCCATCGGCCACCCCAGGCCACCCAGCACTGTGCTCCCTGTTCTGTCTCACACCTGCCCTTCACCCTGTGTGTGCAGTGACCCTGGGGTCACAGCCATCCCCGGCCCGGAGAGCAGACCACCCCACCCGTGGCCCCCCAACCCCAGCTCTCCTTCACCAGGGAGCCCTCCTCATGGACATAAGAGGTCCTCAAGGAGAGGGGCTCCCCACTCCCCCCCCCATTCCCAAACACTGGTTCTCCCAAGCAAAATGCATTTGCCATGAAGGACAGTAGCCTTGGGTCCCAGTGGCCTCAGACCATGGTCTCCACTGGCCTCTCCACGACCACAGCTTCTGCACCGGCCTGGGTGCCCCCCTCCCCCTGCTGCCGTGCACCCGGGCGCCCACCTGATGCCACCGGCCTGGCGGTCTGCACCTGCCTGGGGACCCCCATCGCGTCTCTGGCTGTTCCACCGTCTGCTACAAGGGACACACCGGCTGAAGTTATGGCTTGCTTGAGTCCTTGATCTTCATTCAGCGAGGCCCAAGGAGGGACGTGAGTCCCTGTGAGGAGGGAGGGGTGCAGGGTCCCTGCCCAGCCAGGATCCTCGAACTGAGGGAATCCTAGAGCGTTTTGCCAAAGACAGGCTTTTCCAGGGGAGGAGAGCCTGCCCTGCCACGCCCATGGCACCCCTGTGAGCGCCCCGCCCCTGTGTCCTGTCCCCCGTCTGTCCACTAACTGTACCGCACTGGCCATTAAAAGATGAAGGCAGAGACCTGCTCAGCTGCGGCCTCTGAGTAGCATCTGTGCGGGTGGGGGCTGCCCCACCACCTCGTTCACTGGGGGTTGGGGAAGGGGTCCTGGCGGGACGGGGCCACCCACATGGCTGGGACCTCAGTTTTCCCATCTGTCAAGTGGCCTTGTCCGTATCCAGGCTTGAAGTTCCTAGGCGTGGGGCAGGGGTGAACCAGTCCCGTAGCGGGAGGATCTCCACGCACCAGCCAGGCAGTGGACAGTGGCGTGGGTGCTGGAAGCATCTGGGGGTGCGTAGGGCACCCTGGTGCTCCTTCAGCTCTCCGGTCAGGGAGAAGGGCTGCACCCCATGCTTTTGAACAGGGAGAAAGACAAAAGGCAGGGGGAGCTTGCCCCCTGCCCACAGGGATGGAGCCAGGACTGGAGGCTGAGGGTGCTGGGCTCCAGTCTTGCTCATGCTGCTGATTCGTGGGATACAAACAACTTTCTGTATGGTTTGGTGTCTTAGTTTCCCCAAGCAGTGGTGTTGGTCCACTTTTTGGTATGAGTCCCTTGGAGAAGGGTTACACAGAGGGGCTGGCCATCAGAGGGGCTGTGGTCCAGGCCTGCAGCCTCGGGGACCCACCCACCGGGACCCCACCCACCGGGACCCCCTGGGCAGGTATCACCGCCCCCTCCACCCGGCCCCACCAGGTGGGCGCCCTGGGCAGCCGTGGGAGCCAAGACCTGAAGGCAATACCACAAGGGGCCACCAGGTGGCGTGAGCACACTGCTCCAGGTGGGTGTGGCTGCCAGGGGGCCGGTGACTCGGTTTCTCTGATCAAAAGGCCCACCAGGGTCCTTCCCTTGGCAGGTCGCTGGGCAAGTACCTGTGGGGTCAGCCTGAGAGCTGACAGGGCAGGAGGGGGGTTGGCAGCACTAGGAGCAGGGCCCAGCCTCCCCCCAACCCTGCAGGGGTGCGTCCCACATCCCCACCCCTGCCCAGGATCCCTGAGACCACTGCACTGGCCTTGTTCTGGGGTCTGCAGATGTGGGCGTGGCTGGGAGTGCAAGACCTCCAGCCTCGGACTGGCCAAGAGCGCTTTTGGCACCAATGGTCCGGTCCCCTATCTCAGCTACCCAGCACTGTCACTTCTGGCTTTTGATGTGGCCAGGGCCATTGAGAAACCCTTCATTTCCCTTCACTGATGGGAGCTTGGGTATAAACAGGCCGGCATGAGGGGAGGTGCCCCCCCCGGTCCTGGCCCTGGAAAGTTAGAGGGTCCCCCCAGCCCCGAAATGAACCACTCCAGACAACAGCAGTTCTCCGATTATAGCTTTTTCTCTTTTGTTTTCTTTTTTTATGAAAAAGATCACACAGAATTCGCCAACAAAATTCCAAAAGAAACTTAAAAAAAAAAAAAAAAGAAAACAGTAAGTCCCCCAAAAAACAAAACCGAAGTCTGGCTTTTCCTTCCCTTAAGATTGTCTGGACGAGGCCTCCCGTCCCCCTGGAAGGCGCAGGGGCTGGTAAGTGCTCTCGGGGCCGAGCGGGCCCCCCCTCCGCCTCTGCTCTCCCTAACTGCTTCTCTGTTCTGGGGACGAGTACAGTACACCTGGGCCGGGTGGGGGTGTGTGGGGTGTGCTCAGGACAAGGGAGGCCCGTGAAGCTGGGTGCTAGACACTCACAATCTAATAGGAAACAAAAAATAATATTCTGCACGTCAGAATGTGTTCGCTTTTTTTATAATTTCATAGCTATTTTTTCACAGTTTTAAAAAGTTTATATTTATATATATTTATATATATTTATCTTTATATATATAATTAAAAAGTTGACTCCATTTAAAGGCGTATGATACAGGGGCGGGGAGAGTCTCTTGTCTTGGTACAATAGAACTGTACAGGTTAGAGAGCTGCCGCTCCCTCCAGGCGGCCGGGGCCGGGGCTTCAGCACCATTGGGGTTGTGTGTAGTGTACGGTCCAGGCCAGGTGGGGTGGGCCTCCCCTGGGCCTCAGGGTGAGCAGCCCCTCCCCAACCTGGCACCTGGCTCATGCGCCGGAGTCCAGGCCATCCTGAGAGGGCAGAGGCCGGGCCCCTGGCCAGAGCCCCGAGCAGGCCTGGCCTGGCTGGTGAGAGGGCAGGCATCTGGCCCCCCCCCACCCCATCTCACGGCTGGAGGCTTGGGGTGCAGCTCCGTGCTGAGGGGGGTTGGGCCCTAAGAGCCCCGGGAAGGGCCCTCAAGCAGCAGGAACCCCAGAGCGAGTGTCAGTTTGGTTCCTTGGAAAACCCCCTCCCCGCTGCATCCCTGCTGGGCCTTGGCCTCAGCCTGGAGGCGCTTGGGTCCTAAGTCCTGGGGGCCCCGCCCGGCCAAGTGCTTACAAGGTGCTGGAGGGGCTGCCCCAGCCCAGGGACCAGCAGAGCCATACCCTGATAGCAGAGAGAAGCCCCGGCGGGAGGGGCACCCAGGGGCGTGGGAGGGGGGCTGGGGACATGTGCACAGCGTGCACGCACGTGCATGCATACAGGCACACACATGTACACACTCACGTACGCCGGGCCGTCCAAGGGCACACTTGCATGCACACAACCAACGCGTGTGGTCCCCGAGACGTGGCAGTGATGGCGAGGGGTCCCCGTCGGCGCTTGGGGCGCAAGGCAGCCGGCAGGGCGCGGGGCGCTCAGCAGAGCACAGGCACGCCGTCGGTGGAGAAGATCATGCCCGTGGTGGGCTCGTAGGTGCCCGCGAGGTAGTACAGACCCTCGCTGTCCTGGTACTTCTTGGTCTTGAGCATCTGCTCGTACTGCTCCAGGCCCACCACCAGGCACTTGTGCGACACGGTCTGCACGTCGTTCTCGTCCACGTGGGAGGACTGGTAGAGGGCGCGCTGCGGGCACGGCGTGCGGGCGTCAGGGCTGGGGGGCCCCTGAGGGCGGAGACAGAGAAAGACCCCTCCGCCCCACCCCAGAGAGGCCGAGGCCAGGGCTCAAACACAGAGAACAAGAGAGATCCAACACCCAGACCAACACAAAGGCCCAAAGGCCTAAGGGCCCCAAAGTGCAGGGAGACAGCGCAGCAGACAGCACCAAGCCAGACACAGGGCTGGGGCCAGGGGCCCGGACGCACCCCGTCCGTGCTGGGTGCGGAGAGCCTGCGGGGCCTGGCCTCCACCCCAAGTCCCTACCTCCATGAAGTCCTTCCTCTGGCTGGAGGCCCGCAGGGCGGCGGGGAGGCTGCGGCCGGACTTCTGGTCCCAGTGCTGCGTGTGGGACCGACAGAGGGAGGCTGTGAGCCCTGCACAACCCTGCGCTATCCCAGAGCCCAGACCACCCCCGGCCCCCACCTCTGGGCTGCTCGACACCCCCGCCTCACCTGGCCCTCGTGGAGGCGCTTGCCCGGGCTGGTCTCCTCGGGGTGGTAGAACCACTTGACTCGGACCACCATGTTGCTGCCCCACGACTCCCACATGCTCTGGATGCGGCCGATGTATGGCAGGTTGGGGCGGCCGGCGGACAGGAACACGGCGCAGTCCCCGATGCGGATCATCTCCTTGCCACGCACGATGGCCTTGTAGAAGAGCTTGCGGGCCTTGCCCTTCATGCCGCGGCGCTGCGGGACACGCTGTGGGTCAGGCAGCCCCGGCCGGCCCTGTCCCTGAGCTCGGGGCGTCCTGCGGGCGGCGGGGGGGCGGGCTGGGAGGGAGCCAACCCCCTACTCGCTCTAGTTGGGGCGCCTTCCTCACCCCTCCGCACACGGAGCACCTGACACAGACAACGCGCCGCTAGGAGGGCCTTCTGTTCCCTGTTCCTGAGCGATGCTGGGACGGGCGCCCGGGAGGGCCCGCAGACCCCGCATCCACTGTCCAGGAGGCTCGTGCAGCCAGGCCCAGAGGAGGACAGTGAGCCCCAGCAAGGGGACAGGGCAGGCTCCCAGCTCCAGCAGCATCCCACAGCCATTCAGGTCACCGGCTGCACAGCCCCGTTCTTACACCCCCGCAGGCGGCGTGGGGTCGGGAGTCGGCCGCCCAGGTGGCCTGATCGGGTGCTGTCCTGGGCCACACCCACCCCTCAGGGACGTTCCTGACTAAGGTCAGCCCGGGGCCCCCATGATGCAGCACAAGGCACACCCCGACCAGGCCCTGA